TATACAAAGGGCTTACATAGGTTAAATTGGAGCCTGATGGGGCATCCTTCCAAACTGCATTTGTTTTTCCAACAAACCCCCAAGAATGGCTGGCTCATTTCCATATGGTCCATTTTGTTTTTGAATGAATCAATTCAAATCATCTTCAATTAAGATATTGTCCTTGGTGGATAAATACCAAATATTAATATCTAGTATTCTTTCCCCCAGCCTTTCAAAGCCATAAAGCCTTTGACAGGGCCATGCAGCAGGGGCCAGGAGACAGCAGATCCTTCTCAAACACAAACGTGACCCACAGTGACTAGCCTAAGCCGACAATGGTCCAGTGTGGCCCACAGAAACCAACTTAACCCAACAATGGTTCAGCATGGCCCACAGAGATCAAACTAACCTGACAATGATTCAGATTTTTTAAAATGTATTCTAAATAGTATATGGTATCAAGGTATTCATTATTTTAATAAAATATCTAATCCTAAAAAAAATTTTAAAGACTAACCCCAATCCTAAAAAATAAAAAAACCCAACCCTACAAAAATATACTTCCAGAGCCAGAAGCCTATACATTATTCAGGCATCTCAGCATTCCAACTTTATAATGGCTTCTACTAAAAAGAAAATGTTTTGTGACCAATTCGAGGAAACAGAAAAGATACTGTTTCCATAAGCAAGTGATTCCTTAGACAGAAATTTGCCACATTATGACCCTTTCCATTGAGCTTTTACTTGGCAGCAGACAGGAACATTCAGTTGGCTCTACTGGGCTCCACCCACAAGTTTCTGAAAATACAAACAATGTCATTCTTCACATACTAAACACCAGGTGCTTTTCACAAAAGCAGCATCACTGCCTGAACAACTCTTCTTTAGGAAGCTTATTATTCAGGATTTGAGGTTAAATGAGGACTCCATATATATGATACACACACACAACATACATACAACTATCCAAAGCTATAGCAGACCTAAAACATGCTACTTTTAACACTTCTGACAAGCTTAGATTATCAATGACTTTCAATGATATTTGTTTCAAAATACATAAAATGCTTTAGGTACACATACATCTGTATACATTTATTTATATTTCATGTATAGTAAAATACACATGTATATTTTGGTACATAAGTTCAACCTCACAAGTGGTCATGGCAGGTGTGCTGGCTTGATTTTGAAGGATTCTTCGACAGGCTTGGGGTGTAGTACAATGGTGGGATGTGCACTTAGACTGTGAAGGATCCCAATTCTGACCCCCAACACCCACAAAAGGAAACAAAAAGCCATGGTGATCTGAAATCATGTGACTTAGAAGTTTCTATACAGTAAGGAGGTTTCCTTCCAGACACTAAATCATGTTGCCTACACCTCTGGCCTCCCACAGCATTGACAAGTCTAATAAAGGTTCAACAGAGTAATCCGGAAAGTAATAAAGGCTTCTTGTTCCTGACCCACAGTCCTCTCCGGCTAGCTTTCAGTTTGCATCAAAAAGTATACAGAGCAATGGAGCAAGAACTCGGGCAGTTTCCTAAGCATTCTGTAAAATATTTAGATCTACAGGTAATTAGACTGACCAAATATCTGGGAAAAACATAGGTAAAGAGGTTTTAAAAAGTTTAGGGCATGGAGTGGTGGTTCGGCAGTTAAGAGCACCAGCTGCTCTTCAGAAAACCTGGGTTTGGTTCCCAACAACCACATGGTGGATGGCAGCTGTCTGCAACTCTAGTCCCAGGGTATCAAAGGCCATCTTCTGTCCTCCTTAGGTACTGCATGCAGTGGACAGATACACATGCAGGCAAAATGTCCATGTACATGAAAATAACAATTTTTAAAACCTGTATAAATGTTCACAACGTTCTCTGTCTCCCCCCAAGTGTCGATTTGTTGTTGAGTAAGAATGGGTACAATAATATGACCTGTACCGTTTCTCTCTGGTTATTATATTAATGTTAACATAGTATTAGCTAAATCAAACTTAGGAATGTTAACTAGTGTGAATAAACTGGAGACAATTGTGGTTCTTTTGGCAAAGAGAATGTTTTATGTTTTGCAGTAGTTATGTTATTATCAGTTAAGTTGTAAGTTATCAGTGGGTTTAGTCAACTTGAAAAATAATTACTAAGAGTGTGAGCATCTATTTACAATAAAGCATGCCAGAACCATAACACAATCATATGATAGAAATCTTAATTTTATAAAGCCTTCCTGACAATGGGAGCAGGTCCACTCTACTAGAGATGATCAGTTGGCACAAAGCAGTAAGTTTCCTACAGGCAAAGGCCTCCACCTATATCTCTGGGAACATAGAGAATAATAAGACTGTCTTTGTGCCGACCAAACTGGATCACTGATGTTAGTGAAGCATTTACTTCAATACCAAACAATGTGCTAAGTCCTCTTGAGTACATCATCTCAGCAAATCTTGTGACAATTCTATGAGGTAGACAAACTCAAAGCAACAGTGAAAGGGAAGCATTGCTATATGCTCAGGACTGTTGGACAAGCTTTTTTAGACTTAGATGGGTGGTTGGAGGCCATGTTTGGAGACTGTGGGTTGCAATGCTTCCCTAGTAGTATAAAAACACTCCAACATTTTCCCGACAAGGGATCACTTCTCAGTGTGCACAGCTGAGTGTCAGCCTTACTTGTAACAAATGATTTCAATCTAAAGAAGAAATCGAGGGGGCAATGATTACCCAACAGGTTAGGAGAAAGCAGGCTTATGGAGATGGCAGTGCTTGAGCTAGGTTCTGGAAAAAGGGCTGACTTTGAGCATGTGACAGTAGCCCCAGAGGAGAGAGTCATGAGTAAGCCAAGAAAGCTCCACAGCATGTGTGGCCCAGCAGCACTCCAAGCATGAAGTCTAGATGGGGACCGCCGGGAGAGCAACATGGCAGGGAGAAACAAAACACAAGCTGACACACAGATTGAAGATCTTGAAGGCTGATGTGACTTGACAAAGGTGGAGAAAGAAGGAGAGAGAGGAAAGGTGACAAAATCCGGCAGTTCTTATGTAACTACTCCTCCCACTCTACCTGAGAATCACTTCCTTAAGAACTCTTCCTGGGCAAGCCTTTCCCACACTTTAGACTGAGTTAGTGGCCTTTGTACAGACTCCATGAGCTCCCCAACTGGTTTCTTTTCTGTCTTACACATTTCCACAATGATAGAACTAACTGTTCATCATCTGGCATTGTTCCCTACCCTGGGACTCTGAATCCCAACCCTCCATAGCAACACAACTGAAGGCAATACACACTTGAGTGCAAAAATCCCTGATGAAGACTACATGGTTTCTTTAATGGGATATATCCGCTGTGGTAGATTATAAAGGTATATTGAACTTCATGTTGGCCTCTGATTTGTGATGCTCTGAAATACAGCTCTGTCTCTCTTTTCAGTTGCCCAAAAGTGTGGGACTGGACAAATGCTGTGTGATCCATGAGCCCTGTGTGTGAGTCTGAGATTCGGGAGTGACAGAGACAGCACGGCGAGGGAAGAGGTGACAACAGCAACGGGAACAGAAGGAATGGGCATGTGAGAAGTCAGGAAAAACCCAAAATCAGACCCACAGGGGTCAGAGAGAGGCCAGGAGCCCTTCCAGGAGAAGAGAAGAGGGAAGCTATACTCTGTCTTGCATCACACTGTCTTCAGTCTGTGGTGTCCAACGGAACAACAAGAGGGCAAGCATCATCTGCAGGGGGAAACTGGGTGTTGTGGTTGTTTTAATGTGTATGGGTATTTTGCCTGTGAATATGTCAATGCACCCCCATGCCTGCAGTGCCTGCAGAAGCCAGAAGACAACATTGGAATCCCTGGGACTGGATTTACAAGTGGTTCTGAGCCACCATGCTGGGAACCAAACCCTGGTCCTCAGGAAGAGCAAGCTGTACTCTTAACCACTGAGCCATCTCTCTAGCCCCATGTGTTAATTTTTAAAACAAAATATTTCTTATTGATGTGAAAGAAATTCATAGTCATTATTTACATAATTTTATACCTAATTATAAAAACTTACTCAACATGGCAGCAATTCCAGTCCCAAAGGATCTGACGCCCTCTTCTGGCCTCAGAGGTCACTGCATGCACATTGTGCCCATCCATCCACACAGGCAAACAGTCATACACATAAAACAAGAATAAATAAGTCTTTAAAAATACTCTATCTCAAAAATGTGGTACATTTACACAATGGAGTACTACTCAGCAGAAAAAAAACAACAATGGAATCTTGAAATGTGCAAGAAAATGGATGGAACTTGAAGAAACCATTCTGAGTGAGGTAACCCAATCACAAAAAGACAAACATGGTATGTACTCACTCATGTATGGATTTTAGACATACAGTAAGGGACTACCAGCCTACAATCCACACTGCCTGAGAAACTAGCAAACAAGGAAGACCCTAAAAGAGATAAACTTTGTCCCCTGGAGAAGGGGAAAGGGTCACCTTCCCCTGAGCAAATTGAGAGCATGGGAAGAGGGGGGAGGAAGTTATGAGAGTGAGAAGAGAAGAGGAAGGATGCAGAGGTCATGAGGAAGCAGAAATTTTGAGTCAGGTGTAGATTAGAAGAAAGGACATATGATAGGTAGGATTTTAGTTGGGGGGTGGTAGAGGAGGAAGGGAGGGAGAAGGGAATTGGGATCGATTCAATCTTGTTTGTAATTCAAATATATATAGATATAGATATAGATATAGATACAGATATAGATATAGATATAGATGTAGATGTAGATATAGATATCTCACCCCTGGGAGCCTGGTGGACCCTGACCCTGACACTTCAGGAATCCCAGTGGATGATTCAGATATGTCATCAAGGATGGGGGCCTCTGCTGAACCCCCAAAACCTTAGAGGTGCATCTCAGTCCTATTCAGCCCACTGCAGGGGTTGTCTTGAGTCCTAGAGCTGTGTTTGTTGGCTCTTCTCAGTGCCCCACAGTGCTGGCCTCTCCCTGGTGGTCACTGAAGCAGCCACCAGAGGGACTGAGGCCCTGCCCTCAGGGAAGGCCATGGCCTTCAGAACCCTCTTTACCTCACTGTGTCCTCTCCCACTGTCCTCTGAGCCCCATGTGTGTGAACAAACCCTAAGGGTCTCAGGGGAGGGGTCTCTTTTCTCAGTCTGGTGCCAAGTGAGGCCTTTTCTGAATAAACTCTTTAGACTTTGAAAAAAAATACTCTACCTTTACTTTTGCTATTAATAGCACCTGAACAAGATCTTTCTTGCTAAGGATAGTATCATCCTATCAACATTGCCAAAATCTGTGTTTGTGGGTGCACACTCTTTCTCCAGCAAATTAAACACTCAGTACCCTTTCCACAACTGAATTACTGTGGTGTTAATATGAGCATCCAAAAGGACAAGAAACATGCTTAGGTGTCTGTAACAAGAAAAATAAAAGAACTGGAGACTGATATTAGGGTTCAAGCTTCAAGCTGAAGATCAGAGAAGCAAAGCAGCACGCCACTAGCTCTTACTCTACCTCAGACTGAAAGACGATCCTGGCTCCACCAAACCTCACACTCGGGAGAATCCTGGGAGTTCAATGTCTTCTTCCTATCCTCAGTGTGGCTGGAGAGTGAATACCAACTCTGACTAAGACCTGGCTCCTGTCATATACACCTCCCTAATGCTGGGATCAAAGGTGTGAGCTCTGTTACTCTTCACTCTTGTGTAGGCCATGGTGGCCTTGACCTAACAGATGCATCTACCTCTTAATCCTGAGTCCTGGGATTAAAGGTGTGTACCACCACTGCCTGATCTCTATAACTTGAGGCTGACTTTGCTTTCCGAATCTTCAGGCAAGCTTTAATAAATCATACTATGTCACCACAGATGTCAAAGCAAGTGCTGAAGTCCTCTGATGACCCACAGCTCTGTGACCCTGGGCAGGATATTGAACATTGCTATACTTGTGTCCTCTCCTGTAAAAACAGGGATAGTGATTGCCCTTTAAAGCAGTTTTTAGCATTGCATGAAATGTCCCATATGCTGTAGCCAGGGCTTAGCCCTTGGAAACATTAAGAACTACTGTTCAAGTGCTATGTGATAAAAAGAAGCAAGAAAAATTCTTATGAATGAAAATATACACTAATAAGAGAAATCACAAAATAAAATGACATTTGTTCAGTGTTTTCATGTATATCATAAATTTAAATTTTCAAGTGGAGAGTGCTGTCCTTGATGAAAACAGGTTTTTATTAATGGCTTTACTGGATGTAAGGTATACCAAATCAACACCAACCGTGAGTTAGACCCTTGGAGAGACACAAAATGGGATACAAATAGTGTGACTTGCTTTTATACCAAGTTAAAAGATTTGAAGTTGGGATGGGATGTAAGAACCCACCGTAATACTCATGGCATGGGTCATAAGAGGCATTCTGTACACATATGATGTAATTAATATTGTTTCACTTTATTGAGGACGTATCTGTTACCTACAAAAGTCCAAGTTTGCTCTTTGTGACCTTGGCTAGGTCGCCTGCCTACACAAAACCCCTTAATCTACCACTCTCTCATTCAACCAGTTATTAAATACCTGACGACTGACTAAACTCTCAGTATTACAGAATCTGACACCTGTATGGACCTGAGAGTATGCAGCAGCACCACGCGACCTATCGGGGAGCAGAAAAGAGAACAACAGCAAGAGGGGTCCCTGGTGAACCTGCGGGGGCTCCTCACCTCCCGCGTGCACAGCGGCTCTTTCACTCTGGGCAAAGCCCGCTGCTCCTCCACTGGTCCAGGTTGGGGCCGAGCGCCGAAGCATCCTCACTTTACCCTCCCGCCCTCCAGCTCCCTTGCTTTGCCAGGCTGGCTAGCGTCTCCATGGTAACCGTACACAAACCACCTTCTGCTGCAGTCGGGGTGGTCAGCTTGTAGATCCCGGGGGCCGCGGAGCGATGCGGGATGCGCTGGAGTAGGTCCTGACAAGGGGACTCTGGGCTCGATTCAAAGCACCTGTGACGAGCGCGGGAAGCACAGACACCGGCGGAGATCAGCTTGTCCTCCCGCATCAGCAAGGCAGCGGCGACAGAGAGGCAGGGCGCAGAGGGGAGGGGCGGCCTGCTCCACTCTCCCATCACCGAGCCTGCGCCAATCCCGCTGCGCATGCGTAGCAGTGCCGAGGCGTGGCTAAGGCTGGTGCCTGAGTGCTGGCGGGAGGATACCAACAGGGAAAAGGCGACGGTAGTTGGAGAGGAGTCTTCTTTTACATTAACAATGTATTCAACCATGTTTGCTTCTCCGCGTGAGATCTCCGAGCCTCCATTAAGCAGAGCAACAATTTAATATTGGGAGAAAGAGTCTGTTTCTGATTGTGGATGTCAGCATCCACCTGGAACCAGTTCCTTAACCTCTGCTCGCTCTTATACATAAGGGAGGGGGGTGTTATCCTATGTGTGTCTAGCTGAATCCTGGTGTGTGACAAAATAAACATAAAGAGATGTAGCAATGAATGCTAACCTGTTGGACATTTTCAACGCTGTGCATTTGTGCGGCACTCAACAGTTTATAGAACAAGCTCACAACTGAGAAACCAGGGACCCGCGGTCAGATCCGGTGAGTGCCAGAGCGATTAAAGTCTAGGGTTGCCAGGGCCAATCACTACAGCCCAGACCCAAAAGGGGGAGGGGAAAAAGAGTCCCATGTTTCTAGTTCAGATTCTGTTTGCTCCTATACTGGATCATTAGGTGATACTTGTGAAATACAAGCGAGGCATAAGCTCTAGGTTTACACAATGATTTTTATATATATAGGGATTTTCAGAGTAAGTTGTCAACACTGGGAAAATGTCATATCCCGCGGTGCCAAATGTCTTGTAAAGAATGACTAAATTGCATTTATATTGAACACATATTGTGTTTGATGAGAAATGACATGTAGAACTAAAGAAAGAAAAAGTTTTCCAAGTGCTTAACGACAGTGAAAACTCAGTAGCTGATTAAGTTTAGGACCCGAAATGAAATATTCATGTTCTTTGGGTTTGAAATCCCCAACAGCGACTCAGCAGGGTCTGTCCTATGAAGTCCCATTTAGTAGTCTCCAGACTCAGTTGTGCAAAAGGACATTGCCTTTTGCACAGAAAGCCTTAACTACTGTTTTGATCTCACAGTTTGTGAGATGTGATAAAATGGAACTCCCTTTGGTTTTCTAGATGGCCTTTTAAAAATACAATGCTATTTATCTGACCCTAGGTGGAGAGTTAGGTAGAGTTTTCTCATTTTTTTCTGCTGTTAAATGACTGATAATCTGATATTAACTCAACCTCAACATCTTTCTAAATGATGTTGGGTGAAAAACATCAAATTCACTTTTCATCTACTTAACCCTCACCCCAGATTTGGGGTCTACAGGGGAACCTTCCCAAAAGTTGAAGTAAGCCGACTACAAAATTACCAACTCCAAGCAGGGCAGTGGTGGTGGGTCTCAGCACTCAGGAGGCAGAGGCAGGCATATCTCTGTGAATTTGAGGTCAGCCTGGTCTACAGAGTTAGTTCCAGGATAGCCAAGGCTACACAGAGAAATCCTATCTCAAAAACAAAACCAAACAAAATTATCATCTCCATTGAACCATCAGCTTAAAAACATGTAAACCATACCTGGCTCAGGTCTGTAATCCCAGTGTTTGGGAAGTTTGGGCAGGAGGAGTACCCCAAGCTCAAGACTAGCTTGGGCTACAGAGTGAGACCTTTTCTCAAAAGACAAAACAAATAAACCAACAAAAATGAATTGGTTATATTAACAATTGTTAGCTATAGCCTTATGTCCAGGATGTTGGTCCAAACTAGACCTTGTAGGCATACCATTAAAAATATGAAGCAGTCAACTCAATAGGCCAGATGTCAGTCAAGCAAGTCAGAATAACTGAAAAGAATGACAAAGACAGAATTGTAGGGAACAATTACTTGAAGAAATGATGCCATATAGCTTACCTTACTTACCAAACAGTGTATGGGAAAATATTTAGGCTACCACAGCAGAGGCCTGTGTGACTGACATGGCTGCCCCTCCCGGTATCTGGTGGCTGTTTAACAGAATTCTACACAGATGACTTTTGTAAAAAGGATGGCTTCAAAGCTATAAATACATTTTATAGACACTTTATATGACATTTATACAGTACTTCATAGTTTCCAAGTTGATTTCCTTTGGACCATTCTATTCTGTTGTCTTATTCAGAGTTTACAATAATCCTGAAAGGCTAATCCAAGGATTATTATTTGACTTTGAAATTGAAGGTTCAGAAGGGAATCTGTTCACAAGTATACAGTCAGTAGAAGGTCATGTGAGCTAGGGTTCCTGGTTTCAAAGTCCAGCCATCTTGCCATGGTACAGATACAAATGTAGTCTTGCAGGCTAAGGTCTCCCTCCACAGTAATGAGAGGTGCTCCCTACATAGCTGTGGTGTGCTCTAAGCATCAAGAGTAACTTCAGAATCTTCACGTGAAAATGTTCCACTGAACTTCTGAATTTTTGAGTTAACAAGGAAACCATATAAATGGTAAATTATCACTGTAATATTGTGAACTCTGATATAAAAATGAAAGTAGGGCTAGAGAGATGGCTCAGCAGTTAAGAATGCTTGCTACTCTTACAAATTATCAGAGTTTGGTTCCCAACACCCACATAGAGTGGCACACAACCACGTGTAACTCCGGCTTCAGGGAGCATGCATGTGAGTTTGTGCACATTCACACACACACACACACACACACACACACAAAACAAAAGAATATAAACTTTTAGGTGGTTTTTATTTGCAGACACTTGTGGGATATTCGTATACTGTATAAAAATGTATTGTGATCTGTGTAATAAAAAGCTGATCAGTCAATAGCTAGAAAGAGGTTATGTGGGACTTCCAGGGACAAGAGGACTCTGGGAAGAAGGGCAGAGTCACTAGCCAGAGAGGAAACAGTAGGTATAAAATGAAAGAAAGTTAACACCACGTGATAGAACATAGGTTAATATAAATGGGTTAATTTAAGAACTAGTTATGAACAAACTTAAACTATAGGCCAAGTTTTCATAATTAACAATAAGTCTCCATGTTGTTATTTGGGAACTGGCTGGTGGGACAGAAAAAGAATCGCTGCATATGGAGCCCAATGAGGGGCTCAAATATCTACATAGGGCCTGAGAAAGCCATTTCTTAGGTAGGCTCAGTGTACAGACACTTGACCTACAGAGGTGTGGCTCTTTTAAGAGGCTCTGGTGTGCAGCTGAGGACTTGACCAGGTGGCAATGGATACAAATGCAGGTGAACACTGGTTCCCAGAGCTGGGGTGGCTCCCGGGCCAGTACCTGCTGAGATGAGGCTAGACTCTCACAGAACTGAGGAGGATGGAGCCAGCCACCAGCACCACTATGCTCTCTGCTATGGTAGCCTAGCCAGTTAAATTTTGTCTCACATGGTCAGAAAACACTGCAGTCACTTAGTAAAGCCAGGTCCAGATACAGAAAACCTCTAAATAGGTACAGTATGTTTAAAAATGTGCTTAGATTCTGAAGAAAGAAAAGAAAATGAGTATAGGCAGTCATAGAAAAATAAGTAGTTTAAAAATAATAAAGTGAAATCTTTAAAGAAAGTAAAGTAATATAAAGAACAACCCATGTAAAGATGGAAAACTCACATGGAGTCTGGATCCTGTACAGTACTTGGTTGACTTTGAATTGTTTAAATGCTAATACACAAAAACACAACAGCTACAAAGAGACGTTGGATAGTAGAAAAAACTCCTAAATTAAACCAACCTATATATTTTAAGAATGTCTTAACTTCAAAATAGAAGTCAAAAACTACATTATCTTGGGGAAGGGGTTATGCCTTTGTTTTCACAGGAAACAAAAAGTTATTGTTCTCTTCAAAATTAATAAATATAAGATTTGATTGGGGAAGAGCTGAAAATCTGTCTAGAGACACTAATAGATCTTAAAGCTTATATTTTACACCACACATACCTTGTACCTAATACCTATTTCTTATTTTTTCTTTTTGGTTTTTGGAGACAGAGTTCTCTGTGTAGCTTTGGAGCCTGTTCTGGAAATTGCTCTGGAGACCAAACTGGTCTTGAACTCACAGAGATCCATCTGCCTCTGCCTCCCGAGTGCTGGGATTAAAGGTGTATGCTACCGCTGTCCAACTTTCAACTTTGCTATCAGTATCAATTTCTTATTTTGACTTATCTGTTAGGAATATCCTTGAAAAGACACAAATTAAACAGTTCATTAACATTCAAGTTCCTTCGTCACCATATTTTTTTTTCTTTGGTTTTTCGAGACAAGGTTTCTCTGTGTAGCTTTGGAGCCTATCCTGGCACTCGCTCTGGAGACCAGGCTGTCCTCGAACTCACAAAGATCCTCCTGCCTCTGCCTCCTGAGTGCTGGGATTAAAGGCATGTGCCACCAACATCCGGCCCCTCACCATAATTTTATGCCTATGACAGAGATGTGACTTTTAGGAAAGAAATGCTTCTGCCAACTTAAGATCCTAACACTCACGTCAAGATGTTCAGTCATTTAATTATATTATCACACAATCCCTGTAAAGAATTAGTCAAACTGGTAGCCCGTGCAATCCTTGCATACAAATTCAAACTCACAAATGCACTTAAATGTAATTTGATAGAACTTTACAATGCCATGAAAATTGACTATGTTCATGAAACTTGATGGACATAAAACTATGGCTGACTGAAGGCATCAGCTCAAAAAGTTATAGGACAAACCTCTATTCAATGGGACTCAGCAGTTGCCTGTGCATGCAAGGATTTCTTCACTTTTCCACACTTTTCCTATGCCACATTGCCCCTGCCAGCCTCGACCACATGCCTGCAGAGCTCAATTGACAATGATATGCATGAGGAAGGGCCCATTCAATTACCATGTGAGTACAAAGAGATGTAACTACTTAGTGTGCCGGTGGGGGGGGGCGGGGAAGGGGGTCCTATTGCCCAGGGAGTCAGTGGGAGAGCGTAGTCCTCCAGCCCCTCCAGCAGGACTCCTCTTTTTCTGTGCCTGCTGCAGTGCCTCAGCCAGGTTAAAAGAAGTCTTTGAAGACAAGCAGGAAACAGCTGTCTGTCCAACTTCCCCGGTGAGACATGACTGCCAATGACTGGGTCTTTTCAAAGTGTTCACCGGCAAATAACACACAGTTCTACCCAATGAAGCCTAAAAGCCAAACCCATGATGTAGTAATTTGTTTAGCAAAAATCAGTGCAATTCCTGTAGCTCAGAGATCAACACCAATCAGTCACAGCTCTCCACATGGTCACAGATGGCTGTGGCATGACTGAGCTGCGCATTCCAACCTACAGTGTCCAGAATCAGGAACAGGAAGCAGATGGACCCTCTTCATCTGCCTCAGTACGATAGGAAGGGAAACATATCCCAGGGAGCTGAAGGAGCACTTATTAGGCCCAAGACCCTGAATTCAGTCTTCAGTCTCTAGCACACACACACACACACACACACACACACACACACACACACGCACACACAACACACCTTCCTAGAATCTCCCCTCAGCAGTATTCTTCTTTCATCCTCATTGGCCAGAGCCATGTCACATGCCCACATGCCAGCCCCTGGTACACATGAATGAGACTTCTATTTATGTGACAGGTTTTAATCACTCACTATCTTTCCAACACTGTGACAAATAACCAAGACAATCAACTTGGAGGGAAAAGTTTGTTTTGACTTCTAGTTTATGTGATTTCAGGCCATGATCTCTTCATCCTGCTGCTTTGGGCTTGTAGAGTACATCATAGAAAAGGAGGTCTGTTCACCCCATGATGGCCAGGGGCCAGAGAGACAAGGAGATGGAAAGTCATGGCAGAGGAGGCCTATTCACCTCATGGTGGCCTAGAAGCAAAGGGGAACAGGATGAAGAGAGGGTTCTGATATCCCTTTCAATATAGTATAGTCCCCTACTAATGTAACTTACCTCCACTAGGCCCCACTTCCTTCCAATATCAGCACAGACCCTTGGGGAACATTCAAGATTCAAACTATGGCAGTCAAAGTCCTTAGTTTTTGCTCATTTGTGTTTTTCTTGAGACAGTCTCATGTAGCCCAGGTTGGCTCTGAACTATGTAGCCAAGGATGACCTTGAACTCCTGATCCTCCTGCCTCCAACTCCCTAGTACTGGGCTAACAGGCATGTGCCACATGCTTTTATGCATTGGGGACAGGCCCCAGGGCTTCTTGCATGCAAGGCTAGAATTCTGCCTGCTGAGCATTACTCCAGCCCCAGCCCTGGGTTTTGAGGGAAGAGGCAAGCCATACCCTGGTGATACTCCAATTTAGTTGCTGGGAAGGGTGAAGGCACAGGATGGGAGGGGCCCATGGCTTTTCTCTGGAGCTGCTGAGGAAACAACCTGCAAGGAGAGCCCTAGGCTCCCTCAACTTTTAGAGCAGAGCTGTTGAGAGCATCATTAGTTGCCAGAGCAGAGGGAGTAGAGAGGGACTCAGTTTTGCAGGGTTCAGAGATGAGGACCCATTTTAGGGTTGTGGTACAATCCTTGGTATCCTATCCCAGCCCTCTCTTTCCTTGGCCCACTCCAAGACCATCCTGTGCCCAGCTCCCCACACTTTTCTACAGAGTGTTTGGTGTTGGCCTGTGACCACCCAATCAAATCTCTGACTCATTGTCCCCATAGTCGGCTTGACAGCCTGTATTTCCATCTTATTATAATAACAAATGCTTCTTGGGGACTTGTATGCAATAGGCCACATGGTAAGGCATTTGCTTACTTTGAATCAGTAACTTTCCCAACCCTAAACTACTATTACTGTCATTTAACATGCCTGGAAACAGATTTAGTTTCTTCATTTGTTGGCCACACAGGTGGTAAAAGTAACAGACCCAGGGCACAAATGTCACCCAAAGGAGGCCACTGCCATTCCCTATGCCCTCCCACCTCCCCGACTTTGTGCCATGGTTTTAGATGACCCCACACCCAGGAAAAGCAGGGTGTTGGCTTATCATTGGTCATTTGGTAGGGTTGCAGGAAGGAACTTACCCCAACTAGCCTGCTGAAGAGGGAGAAGAGCCGTGCCATCCATGTTCCATCCTGCCTCCTATTTGCCACCGCAGGAGCTCCCTGTTGATCCACCCACACCTGCTTGTAGTGGCTTCCTGTGTTGAGAGAACAGAAAGCATGAGGGTGAGGGGGTCTGGCAACAGCAGAAGAAAATCTGAAAGGATAAGCCACTGGGCTAGGTTGGAAGAAGTAAAGGGAGAAGTGGTGGCCTGGAGGCTGGAGGATGCTATGCAAGGATACAGAGCTGAGTTGACAAGGGAAGTCCAGGTGTGGTCAGTGGAAGGCAGAAGAGGCAGGAGACCCTGTGCAGTGTAGACGGCACCAGTGTGCAGAATGATCTGTGGGAACTACCTTCTAGCACCTGACAGTATGCAGGAAGCTTTGGCTCCTGGGCTTGAGGTTGCAGAGGAGATGTGCCCATCAGTACTCTTGGGTGAAGACAGTCATATATTGTCCCCAGAAGGAACTCCCTGAGCAGTCTGGCACCCACAATTTAGAGAGTACCGAGGAGGACACTTTGCCTCTCTTTGGCACGCTCATATTCACTGTGTTTTTTCTAATAAACAGAAGTACTTATGTATCGTTGAATCACTAGCCCAGTGTCCTAGTATGTTTCAACTGTCAAATTGACACAACCAGGAGTTAAGAGGGACCCTCAATGGAGAGTGAGCTTGATCAGATTAGCTTGTGGGTGTGTCTGTGGGATATTTTCTTGATAGCTGATTGATATGGGAGATCATGACCTACTGTGTGGGTCATGTCCACCCTGAGCAGGTGGCCCTGGATTGTAGGAGAAAGCAAGGCAGTAAACAGTGCTCCTCCATGGTTTCTGCTTCAGTTCCTGCTCAGATCCCTGCCCTGACTTCCCTTGGTGATGGAGTGTTGCCTAGACATGTGAGCCTGATAAACGGTAGCCTCCCCAAATTGTTTGGCTCATAGTGTTTATCACAGTGACAGGAAAGCAAACTAGGATGTCCAAGAATGTCTCAGCAATGTGGCAAGAAGGAGCTTTAAATCAAGGAAAGGCAGGTTTATTTAACAGTTATCACTAGACATTGTAGTCCAGCTGGAGGTTTAGGCAAGCTTAGCAGATCCCAGATGGGGTTGGCTGGGTCTTGGCTTCTGCTTGTAAGCTCTCTAAGATGTAAAGCTACTAAACACATCTTCCGTGGCATAAGAGCCATGTGATATATTATTTGAAGGAAAAGTATTAGCTAACTAGGGCATGGTATCACCTACAAGAAGACAGAGAATAGCCACCAATAGCAAACCCTCTTCATCAGCACTATGATTTGTAGAGGACCTTTTCTTCAGCAGAGTGCAAAACAGCTCATGCTCCACAGAACTGAACACACACTTCATGTGCATGAAACAGAGAAAGCCCAGATCACTTTCTCTGGTGAATCGATGTGCTGGCTGTGAGAGTGCGTCAGAGCTCTGTGGGCTTTTACCGTCAGGAAAGTAGACAAATGGCAGATGGGGCCTCTTGGGACCTCCGTCTATTATTTCTTACAACTGCACTGGAGTCTACAGCGATCTCAAAATACAAAGTTTAAAATAAGCCAGTCTCACTTCCCATGTCATCTCTGCGAGGCTCCTGACTGCAAAGTTGTGATGCAAACACAGCGGAAACATCACAAAAAGAAACAGGACGCCTATTCACGATGTGGTGTGAAGAAAACAATTTCTCTCTGAGAACTGCAAAGGGGAAGTGAATTTCAGCACAGATAGTCATTCAGGGAGAGGATGCTTTCTAGGCACCCTCCTCGCTCGCTTGCTCGCTAGCTCTCACACACAAACATACACACACACGCACACACACACCACACACACACATACACGAACATGTGCACACACACGAACACCACATGCACACACACATACACACACGTGCGTGCATGCACACGCACACAACACACACGCACATACACACACACACACACACACACACACACACACACGTGCACACACACACCACACCCGCACATACACACATGGGCACACACACACACACAACACACGCACACACACGCACATGTACATACACACACGCGCGCACACGCACGCTTGGAGGTTGCTAAGATGAATAGTGTTTCTGTCAATGTTTTTATTGGAGCATGGAAGGAAACAGAAAGCTGTCTCTGATTTTGAGAGCTCAAATTCAAACTTTGAAAAGGACCTCTTGGTGTAGTTGGTTCAGGAATGGAGCCCCCTGACTCCTTCGGGATCCTGTCTGGCTCTGTTCATGGGCTGCAGCTCCCTATACCCTGTCATTGAGCCTCCTTTCCCAGACCTCTAATTAAGTGGAACAGCCAGGTTCCTGCTAGACCCTTTGTCCATCACATCACATGCCACCTCTCAGTTTGGCCAGCATCCAATATAAAAGCTGGCCAGACTTGAAGCTAAGTGGCTTATGCTCTTAGGAAGCTTGATTGCATCTTAGACCAGCTGGGCTCCTGCAGCAGTTCCAGACAGCAGCTGCTGCAGGTCCACCTTGACTGAGGCCATGGTCAGCAATAGCAAAGATGCTGAGTGGGACAGTGCCCTGATGGAGGACCTTCCCAGAAGGCCATGTTCTGTCACCAAATGGGGTGTGATGGTACACACCTGTAACCCTATCATTTAGGAAGTGCAGACAAGAGTGTCATTTAAGGTCATACTCCTTATAAAACATGAAGCTATCCCAAGAAAACAATAAACAAACAAGCCTTTCACTGAGAGGAAGGATAAATGGCTCTGTGGGCAGCACCACATCCCTTTGCCTGACCCTCTGTAGTTATTCCTGGCATGCCAATAACCATAGCCTCCACAGGGCACGTGTGCTCAGGAACAAGTTGGTTTCCACCTTCTACTGTTGCCGTCTCTAAAGCTCCTTCCTGTCCCACCTGTGTGTGCTTTTCCTACTGTAGGAGTTAGTGTTCTCCTGAGCCTGAGGGTACCTTATGGATTCTGCACAGAGCCTTACAGAGCCATTGTCACACTGAGTGCCTAGCCTCTCACCACATAGATGTGTGTACTCAGGCATGCATGGGAGACAGAGGGGGACGTCCAGTATGCTGATCTATCATTCTCTGTTTTATTCTCTTGATACGGGGTCTCTCACTGAACCCTAGAGCTGGGTTGCTGGCCAGGAAGCCACAGTTGAGACACCTATGGTCTCAAAGATGCCATCACTTTTATTCACCTGTGTGAATAAAACACACTCAGCTGTGCCCCCCCCCCTTTTTTTCTGAAACAGAATCTGCCTTTGAAACATGGAAGACTGGAAAGTGATTGAACCAAAGGGGTGTGGCCTAATGCATTAGGGCAGGGTGGAAACCCCAGGGCCTGCCTGTGCAGGTTCTTCTCAGTCTTTCTGGGCAGCATGTCTTTATTGAGAATACAAGCCGACCTCTCCAGAAATGGGCGTCTCATGACCAATAATTGGAGAAGAGCCCAGGTGGCCTTTAACTTGTAGTTTTCCTGCCTCCAACTTCTAAGCACTGGTTACATGTAAATCTCACTATTTCTGACCATTCTCAACATTACATTTTCAATTACATTCATTTGTGCATTTATGTGTCTATGTGGAAGGGACACCCATGTGCCACAGGGGGATGTAGAGATTGGAGGACAAATGGCAGGAGTTAGTTCTCCACTTCTACCACGTGGGCTCCAGGGGATCAAATCCAAGCCTGTGGATTGTTGGCAAGCACCTCCATCCACCATACCATCTTGCTAGCCCTACACTCAGCATTTTTAGGAGCCAGAAAGTCCTGCTCCAAAGTAACTCACATTTTACATTCTTCTTTTGTTTGTTTGCTTTTTGAGACAAGGTTTCTCTGTGTCCCTGGCTGTCCTAGAACTCTCTCTGTAGACCTGGCTGCCCCCCCCCCACTGTGTTGGGACTGAAGGCCTGCCACACCACCATCTGGTGTACATTTTACATTCTTATCAGCAAGGTAAGAATGTTGCAACTTTTCTGGTTTTTAGACAGTACTTCCTATTTCCTGGTTTTAATTATAACCGGCCCAGTGAGTGTGAAGGTGGTTTTGATTACAATTGCATTGTGAGCAGCAATATTAAGCATCCTTTCATATGTGTGTCAGTGTAGGTATTTTCTTTGGAGAAATGTGAATCCAAGTACTTCGGTATTTTAAAATTTAGTTGTTTGCCTTTGTTATTGAGAAATTAAAATTCTTTCTATATTGTGGACATTAGACCTTCTTCTACATACTGCATAGCTATCTTCTCCAAACTGAAACATTCCCTCCTGGAGAGAGGAAGGAAGAGAAAGGCTCAAAGACTTAAGAAGTTTGTGGAAGTTACAGGAAGCTCACACACATTCCCTCCATAGTGATGTAAACATTGAGCAATAGCTCTGGACAGGACACTCTTTGGTGGTACTGTCTATAAGTTGGGCTGCAGGCTCCAGGATATAGCTTACCTGTGCTGCTGGCTACTGTAGGGGACTTTTGGGTGATGTAACTGCCTGGGAGGATGTTTCCTTGGTAGTCCTTGGTGCCTGATCTGGAGTAAATAGACAGTTGTTCACACCTCCCCAGGGAGAGTCACACAATATCATATGTGTAATTTGCAGAGACTCCTGTTCTATAGTTTTTTTTTTCACATTCTTGATAATGTCCTTTGATGTCACAGGTTCTTAACTTCATTGGGGTCTAATTTATCCCTGCCCCTGTGTGTCGCTTATAATTTTGACCCCAGATCCAAGACTCCATTGCTTCAATGTCACAAGGGTTTTCTCCTAAAAGTCTTATTGTTTTAGCTCTGACCTGTAAGCCATTGATATAGTTTGACTTTCCTCGTCTGTGTAGTGTTACAGTTAAGTGACATTCTTTGGTTTGCGTCTATCTAGTCTCGACTATTAATAAAAAGGACAAGTGTTTTTTGAGGCAGTGATACACGATGGTCACCTAAATGATGTAGAGCCTGGAGAACCAGAGTGGTTTTCAGGAAAAGACGCCATTGGGTTCTCAGTGTGTAAGCTACTAGAAAGTGGCTGCTTGGTGGCTGCTGTGTGCTTAGGAAACAAACCCAGTCCCCCACAGATGGAGAGGGTCAGCTGACACCTGGAAGGTGGCTTGAGTGAAAGATGACTCTTTATAGCATCAAGGTCAAATTTTGCTGAGGCAGCAGTAGAGGTGGCTAAGGCCACCAGGGGGCAACACAGAGATGGGTTTCCAGTGGGAACATATCAAATGGCCTCTTGGGTTCACAAGGTAGCCAGAAAGGCTGCTTGCTAGGCTAGGGGAAGAAAAGGCCATGGTGTCAGCATCTTCATGATGCCTGCCCTGAGCCCCAGACTATGTCTGTGACTTTTTGCTTGTCCTGTCCCACAAGGACAGGACATTAAGTTTCCTTTTCAAAATGCAGTGAAAGAAAGAAAGAAAGAAAGAAAGAAAGAAAGAAAGAAAGGGAGAGAGAAAGAACACACTGTCTCCAGGTCCCCAGCCTTCTGTGAGAAACTTTAAATCAGCACTGAAAATTAAGCTACTTTTGCCAAACATAAACAGTCTTTGAATGGCTATTTTTTTTAAGTTACTGGTTATATTTTCGACAGAGAAAATAAAGGAAAAATGAGGAATTAGCTACTTAAAAACCAGGGAAGTCATAAAGCTGACATGCTTTTTATATCTGTCTCAAAATTTGCAAATGTCAAGACACAGTTCATATTTACTTTCACAAATTTGGTGGGCATTTTCATTGTGTAGCAATCATAAGATTTGAAATTATGTGTTCGGCAGTTTTCAGATGAAGGAAGATGAAGGCCTTCCAGTCATATAATGAGGACAATGAAGTACAATAACCCTCTGAAGGGTTAACTTTGTCTAAAAAAAAAATGGTCCCCAGAGAAAGCACAGGGTGCTTTCTGGAACATCCCCAATAATGTGCACATATGTACATATCACGCCCTCACCTCCCACCTGCCCCCCAGCCTGGCGACAGCTCCAAATAGCAGAGAAACACTGGGCCATACTTGACAGTACTGTAAGAGACAGTGTTCACAGCCAGAACCACAGGAAAGCCTCAATATCTAAAATCTACAAAATGAAACAGCAGTAAGGCTCATGTTCCTTCAATTAAAGACAATATTTCAAGCTTGCCCCACTGCTGGCAATGGGAGGGGTGGGCTGGCAGCATCTACAGTGAGCCAAGCCTGAGATGCTGTTATATGTCAACAACCCATGATCAAAAAACAGGCTGTTTTGTGCCTGTTAAATACAACACGAATGTTAGAATGTTTGTAAGCCAGAGGCCTCCTGCATATCCAATATCCAAGGGATATAGCTTAAGTTTAGTATAGTATATCCATTTTATGAGCTGAGGCAGGCAAATAATACAGTGTCCAAGGAGGGCACCCACCAGTAGCTTTGTTGAGGCAGAAGAGGAGTAGAGTCAGAAATTAGTTTTTCTTCCTTTCTTTGAAGTGCCATGAATGTTGCATGTTTTCTGTTTCATCAACTGTGGGCAAATGGCAGGGAAGGGACATTCCCTCTCAGTTACCTGTAAGAGGAGACAAACCCCAGTGCATTCAGCATTTCATTTTGAAAACTTTGAAATTTAACCACATCAGTCTGGGCTTCCCCCACCCCAAACAACATTAAATTCCCTGGTCCACATCTGGTGGTCTATCTAACAACAACATGATATTAAATTATACCTACCATGAGTTGTAGGCTCTTTGAATGCCAAGGTATTCAGTGGAAATGCTTGGGGGGAGAGGGACGGGAAGGGTAGGCTTCCAGAGAAAGGGTGCTTGAGCCATCACAGAAAAGGAAGCTGAATTTGGCCCCAGGGAACAACTTCTGGGAACCATCTGTTGTTCTCTGCCAATGGTACACTCGGGTGTACCATGGAGAACACGTACCCTTAGCATTTTCTTATGTCACACATCTGACCCTCAACAGTTGGAGACACAATGTTTTGACTACATGACTTCACTTCTGCCCTGCAGAACTCCTGCTGATGAGCAAAAGAATCCACCAGGGTTAGTTGGAACCGGAAGGAGATTTTGTTTGGTGACAGGAAGCTTTGAATCCCCTAGAAGACTAGAAAATGGGCTCAATGGCAGCATAAACTGGAACTGTGCCCAAACTACCCAAGAGAAGGTGTGAGCTCATTGCTGCTAACAGCCTAGATGCTGTGCAGAGGTAGGCACAACTCTCAGGCTGACTCTTTCTTTCTGTAATGCTCTCCGTAGTCACCAGAGTGTCCTCTGCCCGATAACCAAGGCCTCATTTCAGCTGGGTTTGGTGTCTGGCTGGTGTAGCTAACACTACACACTGAGCATGCCTCCATTCACTGGGAAGGCTTTTTGTTTCCATCCTTAGTGAGCAAGACTCATACCATGTCCTCATACAGAGAACCACAAATATGACAAATGTCAATTATTTGCTAACAAATCCACCCAACTTTGTCCAGTTTACTGTTTGTGGCCATGAGCTTTTCGGGAGTCTGGCTCTATTCCTAGCTGTCCCTTTTCCTTGATGGTAACTCAAGAATGAAGCATGAAGCCTACTTGTGACCATGAGTCATGCAGACACATCACTGGGGGATTTCCTGGAAAAGTTTCATAATTATGAGAAAGAGACATAAAGACACAATAACCCCATTGTTTTGCCTCTGGATGGTGATATTGGGGACTTGAAGTCTGGAGCTGGGCAGCTAGTGACTGGCTAGAACACAATGGCAGAGCAGAAAGATGAAATTGATCTGGATTTTTTTTTTTTTGACACAGGGTCTCTCTACATAGCCCTGGCTATCCTAGAACCTCCTATGTAGACTAGGCTAGCCTCAAACCCACAGAAAACTAACCTGCCTCTGCCTCTGTCTGGATATTGGATAACATTACTTGGCCACTCAATCAGCCACCTTGTATCCATCCTACCTAGGCATATTTATGTGAACTAATGCATTTCTGGATTCAAGTTTTCTGTCATGGTCTTGCTCGCTCTGGGTCCAGTACTGCGAAGACAGATGTGTTAGGAACAGAAAGCAGGGCATCTTCTTGGGCCAGAGGAGACTGGTCTTCATTCTAAGTGAGAATAAAATGCAGAATGCCCCTCTGAATGCCTTTCCTCTAAGAAGTCCACTTGGCCCTGTTCTCCCTCACTGGTCTGCGCCAGTGAGATGGCTCACCAGATAAAAGCACTTTCTGACAACCCAAGTCCCATTTCCAGGACCCCTTGCCACACACACACACACACACACACACACACACACACACACAGGTGAGAACTGACTCTTGCAAGTTGTCCTCTGACCTCCACATCAAAATCCATGGTGTATGTGTGTGTGTGTGTGTGTGTGTGTGTGTGTGTGTGTGTGCGCGCGCGCGCGCGCGCACGCCAGCGTATGCACACATGCTCGAGTGCAGTAAATAAATATATTTTCTTCAAAGACTCAGTTCAGTCAGTGCCTTAAGACTTTACATTCCCAATCCTGGGCCTCAAGGATAGAAAACAGGGGTGACAGGCCTGGAGTGTAGCTCAGTGGTAGACACTTGTTTAGCAGGCATGAAGCCTTGGGCTGGATGCGTAGCACCCCCACGCTCTCACAGAATACAGTGGTGCCTATTCATTCCAGGACATTTTGGCTGTGGCAGAGTACCCGCCTGACCCGCTGAGTTGCTTCAGATGTCTGGTGCAGAAGCTGCCCTGAGGCATCTCTGCTCTTGTTCTAAAGCCACCAAGTTCTTAGGAACCAGAGATTTCAAAACGCTGCTGCAGGAGTGGAGCTGGAGCCAGTCCTGGCCATAGCCTGTCCCAGATGGAAGCGCAGGGCCCAGAAGAAAACCTCCATTGGAACTATGTGAAGATCCAGTCCTAAGACACCGCCTCTTCTCTGAGTATCACTTCAGTTCATTTATACTGAAGAGATTTTTTTTGTTTTGTTTTTGTTTGGTTTTGGTTTTTTCTAGACAGGGTTTCTCTGTGACTTTGGAGGCTGCGCTCTCTAGGCTGGCCTTCAACTCAGAGATCCGCCTGCCTCTGCCTCCCGAGTGCTGGGATTAAGGTGTGTGCCACCAAAGCCCAGCCTGAAGAGATTTTTTTTTAGATATAAAATCCATCCTGTTTCTTCTCGCTGGTCTTTCCAATAAAATGCTGGTATAGAACAAGCTGTTTGGCCAGGTAGTGGTGGTGGCTGTGGGTGCAGGCCTTTAATCCCAGCACTCAGGAGGCAGAAGCAGGTGAATCTCTGAGTTCGAGGCCAGCCTGGTCTACAGGGTGAGTTCCAGGACAGCCAGGGCTATACAGAGAAAAACCTGTCTCAAAAAAAAAAAAATCAACAAATAAAACAAGCTGTTTGTATTAAACCCTGCGAAGTTTACAGATGTCCATGGAACTTGTCTTCGTGAACATGAGGCAAGTCTGATGCCTGGGCTGTTGCTTACTAGGAACTTGGAAACAATCACTTGAAATATGTTTTCAAAGTACTTTATTTCCAGGAACCTCAATAATGGGTGTAATGTGACATGCAAGGCAAGGGAAGTAAATATTGAGTGTTCGGAAGAGCATGCTTCATTCCTTCACTACATAGTTCACTTACATACTTTTAAATTTTAAAGATTTCTTTTTTATTTGTGTGTATATGTGAGGGTATGGTGTAGGTGGGGGGTATGTGTGAATGGGGGTATGTGTTTTTATTGGGGGGTATGTGTAGGTGGGGGGTATGTGTGAATGGGGGGATGTGTTGTTTTTGGGGGGTATGGGTGGGGGGGGGGTGTGG